ACAGCGCTGAGCAAACCTTTTGTCGCTATATAAATACTAATAATAATAATAATAAAAAGCCATTTTAAGCTAATAACCTGCCTCAAATTACATCACCAATCTTGTCTCCAAATATCACCCAAACCGTCCACTCCGCTCCTCGCATGACCTCCTGCTCTCAGCTCCCTTGTCCTCCTCCCATGCTCGTCTCCAGGACTTCTCCAAAGCCTCCTCTATCACTCATGGAACTCTCTATCCCAATTTATCAGACTATCACCTACTCTGCTCACTTTTAGGCGATCTCTGAAAACCTATCTCTTCAGGGAAGCCTATCCTGCCCTCAGCTAATACTGGAATCTTCTACTCTTCCTACCAGTCCATCCCCCACAGTGACTACCTTTTGTACCACCAGATCACCCCTCCTCTTAGATTGTAAGCTCCCAGGATCAGGCCCTCCTAACCCCCTTGTGGGTGGCTTGTAAATGAACTGTATTGTTGCTGTATTGTCCTCCCGTTATGTTGTAAAGCACTGAGCAAAACTGTTGACGCAATATAAATCCTGTATAATTATAGTAACAATGTAAAAATATTTATTTTTCTCATCATTTTTGAGCCTTTTTTCATGTATATCGTTCAAAAAAAATTTAACAACCCAGTGGTGATGGAATACCACCAAAAGACAGCTCTATTTGTGTGAAAAAATATGATATTAATTTTGTTTGGGTACAACAGTAAGCGTGCATTTACCAGTTAAAGTAGCGCAGTGTTAAATAGCAAAAAATGGCCTGGTCATGAAGGGGGTAAGACCTTCCGGAGCTCAATTCTTTATGGCTCAACTGCTGAGATAAGATGGGGGCAGAGACAAGGGGGGTGCCAGCAGCGGCCGAGAGGTGTGAGGATCCACATGACATGTCCTGGAGGGCTTGGTTTTGGTCTGTGGGCTTGTGTTTGACATGATGTGTGATCTAGCTCCCTTTTCCATGTGGTATTTTTCATACTACAGTCCATAATAAAGGAACAAATTTTTCTTCCTGAGAAAATAGTATAAAGAATCTTTGTGCTAGCCCAATTTTCACTGAAAATTGCACCCAAAAAGGAGTCCCGGGCCCTGTATGTGCATACACATTTGCTGGATAAATGGCTATGCAAATGTTGTTGATGAATAGACCCATAGGTAACCCAACCAACCTGTTCCAAATGGGGGCAGCCCACCTATTATATTCCCTTAAATCCTCATCCTTATATTGTTCTCACCAATACACAGTCCAAATAAATCTTCGCTATCTATCTACAGAGAAACCCCCATAGATCACATGACCACATCAATGAGGATGGAGGAGGACTGGAGTCACAAGACTGAGAGGATACTAAACCTCACCCTGGAGATCATCTACCTGCTGACTGGAGAGGTGAGGAGGATTCTGGGAGGTCACATGACATCACCCTCATCTCTCTATAAAACACAGACCTGACCGGAGAGGTGAGGAGGATTCTGGGAGGTCACATGACATCACTCTTATCTCTAGTAAATTCACACAGACCTGACTACAGAGGTGAGGAGGATTCTGGGAGGTCACATGACATCACTCCTATCTCTATTAATAAAACACAGACCTGACCGGAGAGGTGAGGAGGATTCTGGGAGGTCACATGACATCACTCTTATCTCTATTAATAAAACACATACACCCTGACTGGAGAGGTGAGGAGGATTCTGGGAGGTCACATGACATCACTCTTCTATCTATGCCAAAAACACACAGACTGACCGGAGAGGTGAGGAGGATTCTGGGAGGTCACATGACATCACTCTCATCTCTATTAATAAAACACAGACCTGAATCGGAGAGGTGAGGAGGATTCTGGGAGGTCACATGATGACATCACTCTCATCTTTAATAATAAAACACAGACCTGACCGGAGAGGTGAGGAGGATTCTGGGAGGTCACATGACATCACTCTATCTCTCCAATGTAAAGACCTGGCCGGAGAGGTGAGGAGGATTCTGGGAGGTCACATCACTCCTATCTCTATTAATAAAACACAGACCTGACTGACGGAGAGGTGAGGAGGATTCTGGGAGGTCACATGACATCACTCTCATATCTATTAAAAAAACACAGACCTGACCGGAGAGGTGAGGAGGATTTCTGGGAGGTCACATGACATCACTCTCATATCTCTATTAATAAAACACAGACCTGACCGAGAGGTGAGGAGGATTCTGGGGGTCACATGACATCACTCTTATCTCTATTAATAAAACACAGACCTGACCGGAGAGGTGAGGAGGATTCTGGGATTCTAACATGATATTCCTATTGGTTCCTCAATACAGAGATTTCCTCCTCTGAAGTCAGGTGATCATATGACCATCACAGTGCCTCCATGTGACTCCCTAAACCCTGAGAGACACAACATGCAGAAGATTCTAGAAGTCACCAAGAAGATGATGGAGCTGCTGACAGGAGAGGTGAGCGGTGCCGGGAATTCTGGGACATTCTCCAGTAACAGACAAGGGATGTGTCTGGATGGTGACTGTATCATTGTGTGTGTCAGGTTCCTATAAGGTGTCAGGGTGTCACTGTCTATTTCTCCATGGAGGAGTGGGAGTATTTAGAAGGACACAAGGATCTCTACAAGGACGTCATGATGGACAATCAGCCGCCCCTCACATCACCGGGTAAGAGGAGACTTTATTGTAAAGGAGAGAGCAGTACGGAGGATCCACCTAGATCCCCCATCATCTGATAAACACATAGAAACAATGGATTCAGTCAGTGTGTGTGTTTCCTACAGATGGATCCAGTCATGGGAACCCACCAGAGAGATGTCCCCGTCCTCTGTATTCCCGGGATTCCACACAGGAAGGTCACACCATCCCTCACCATCATCAGGTAGATGATGACAATTATTGGTAGTTGTGATTTATACACAGCATGTTTGTTACAATGAATGTTTTTTTATTATATCTTTCAGAGTGGAATCCTCGGGGATGATAATATTGATGTTAAAGAAGAGTATAAAGAGGAGGATGAGGAGTATGGAGTGATGGAGGAGTTTTCAGAAGGACACAAGGATATGATGGAGCCACCTAATACCAGGAACCCACCAGAGAGATGTCCCCATCCTCTGTATTCCCGGGATTCCACACAGGAAGGTCACACCATCCCTCACATTACAAGGTTGGTGGGACAGAGAGCATCTAGAACATGGACTTGTGGAGACAATGTGTGGATTTTTATGTGACTTATTAAAGTATTAAATTTATATATTTTTACAGATTTCTTGTTGATCCTTCTTTGGTTTAGGGTGAAGATCTGATAGATATAAAAGTTTGAGGTGAAAGCAGAAGAAGAAGAGGCGTATGTGAGGGATGATCAGCAGTCTATGGAGGAGGATGGAATAACGGGGACATTTATAGAGGAGGACACTCCTACAGAGATCAGCACAGGTGGGTCATGAACACTAAATCCATTCCTCCACCCATACTGCTCACTGATTGGTCCAGAGTAGGGCGGGGGAGTGATAGTCAATGAGTGTCTCAGAGCTGTGTTCCCCGTCCTGGGATCTTCCTTCTCTGTGCTGGACACAATTGAAATTTATCTAGACTGATTTATGGAGGTTCTGGGGTTCAGCTGGCAGCACTTTAGTTTTCCTACCTATGTGCTTTCTGTACATAAGATCTCTGACAGGCATTTCTGAGGGTTCCCTCTGTTGTCTGCACTAGGGATATTCTATGTTGTACATTACATAGGCTCCTGGGACCCCTTGCACTATATACTAATGTCTATGTACATTACATAGTCCTGACCCCTGCACTATATACTCTATGTTGTACATTATACTCCTGAGTCCTGACTTATACTGCTCTGTACCCATACCCTTTAGTCCCCCTGCACCTGCTATATATACACATAATATGGATTACTACTCTTGTTACACCCATTTCCTCCCAGCTGGACATTTTATATCGGATGATGTGATTGGAGCACAGACTTTTACATGGTGATAATAATGTGATAACATCCTCCAACTTTGGACCCTTAAACAGAAAGTGATAATGAGGGAGGAGTCAATACCCCAATGATGGTGGTCTTCAGGATCAGTCCAGTCTTCATCTTGGTTGTTCTCCCCCCATCCTCACTCACTCTCTGACCTCTGGTGGGGCTCAGCCCCGCTGTTCTTCATGACTAAATCATGGACTAAATAAGGAAGTGCAGTACTTCTTGTGTTGGGAAGATGGCGATGAGTGATAGAGGGGGGGGGGGACCCTCGTCCTATAATCCCCTCATCACTGTCCCTCCTATAAAAGACAGTTCTGGTTGTTTCCTCACTCTCTGACTAAGGTCCATGAATAAAGAAATGACCTGGTAGGAGATCAGAGGAGCCATTTCCTAGTTCCCTTGAGGGTGGAATTGTAAGCTCCTCAGAGACCAAGCTGCCTGATGTGGGCGGAGTCCTGGTTTGGGGGAACCAATCAGCTCCTGTCTAGTAATCCTCTTTGTCTTTGTATTTTAGTCCATGGCCGGGAGATGAGGAAAACCTCCGAGGATTGTCTCACTTTGTCTCCAGACTGGAAAGTAGAAGATGAGGACATCACACAGTATAGTCCAGGAGAAAACCCGGCTCCCTCCAATGTCCATCCGGCACCACCCAGGTAGATGGACCATCGGATTCCTCGTATCCTGAGGAACCTCAGACTGTGCGGGACCGGGCCGGCCTTCCAACAGGGAAGAGCTTCTCCTGTACTGAGTGCGGGAAAGGTTTTTCCATTTTAAATCCAATTTTAATATGCATAAAAGATCTCACACGGGGTGAGAAGCCGTATTCCTGTCCTGAGTGCGGGAAATGTTTTTCACATAAGTCCAATCTTTACAGACATCAGAATCTCACACGGGGGAGAAGCCACTTTTCCTGTTCTGAGTGCGGGAAATGTTTTTCACAGAAGTCCTGATCTTTACAGACATCAGAGATCTCACACAGGGGAGAAGCCTTATTCCTGTCCTGAGTGTGGAAAATGTTTTTACAAAAATCAGAACTTACCACACATCAAAGATCTCACACGGGGGAAAAGCCATATTCCTGTCCTGAGTGCGGGAAATGTTTTTCACATAAGTCTAATCTTTACACAGCCATCAGAGATTGCACACACGGGGAGAAAGCCATATTCCTTGTCTGAGTGTGGGAAATGTTTTTCATAAAAAAAACATCTTCTCACACATCAGAGATCTCACACAGGGGAAAAGCCATATTTCTGTCCTGAGTGTGGGAAATGTTTTTCAAATAAATCACAGCTTTACAGACATCAGAGAGTTGCACACAGGGGAAAAGCCCATATTCTGTCCTGAGTGCGGGAAATGTTTTTCACAAAAGTCCAGCTTTGTCACACATCAGAGATCTCACACGGGGGAAAAGCCGTATTCTTGTCCTGAGTGCGGAAATGTTTTGTACAAAAAATCAGAACTTTCACACATCAGAGATCTCACACAGGGGAAAAGCCGTATTCCTGTCCTGAGTGCAGGAAATGTTTTTCACAGAAGTCCATCTTTACAGACATCAGAGATCTCACACGGGGAGAAGCCACTTTCCTGTCCTGAGTGAGGGAAATGTTCCTCACTAAAGTCCTGTCTTCTTCTGTACATCAGGGGTCCCACACAAACCTGGAGGTGTATTAGTGCCTTGAGTGCGGGAAATGTCTTCTGTGATGAATGTTGCTGGACATCCCAGCTCTCATGTGGGGAAGAAGCACACCCTGATATACACCTCAGATATACTCCATGGCTGATCTTCATCATGGAAGAAACAGTTCATAAGGAGATCAGAGGTCACCAAAGACATGGATGAAGTGTGGGACCGGCCCACCCCTGTCATACAGTGATTTCCTAAGATCTTTCCCCATCTAGTGGAAAAATCGCAAAACTGCAGGATTAGTGCAGCTTTAAAGCCATTAGATCAAGCTGATCATAGAGAATCAAAATAAACGATTCCACCCACTTGGCACTTCTGGTATACCCCTTCCCAACAATTCTCACCCTCAAAGTGATTACAAACTAGGGTACAAACGTGATCAATAAATCCCACCCAACCAGTGAGCTGCCAATATTTATACATTCAGGCCAGCCCCAAACTCATACAGCACTAAAACAAACTTGTCTCTAGTAGTGTAAGTCAATCTACAAAAATCATCAAAAGTTACCTATTCCACAAAATAAAGGAATATAAATGCATCCGACACTGTGAAGAAATAAGTCCAACAACACAAAACTAGTAAATGGCTAAATATATCTAGTGCTGTGAAAACATGTCTGTACTGTAAATGTCTATTGGAAAGTGGAAAGATAGAGAAGATAGAAAGTGGAACATATTACTGAACCCACAACAGTACAATCAGTCTGTAGATGCAATAAAGCATGCTTGTTATACCTGTCGCAATCGTACACCCAGAGACTGACGCAGTCCTCTCATTTTGTTAAGAAATCTCCATGTTGTCCCTCATTCTCCCCCTTCCCTCTCTGTTAATCCACAGGGACATATGTGTGTTGCAGGCAGGCCGGAGCCCAGCAGGCAGCTTCGAGGTGCCTGGTTGTCTGAGAGAGCTGTGCAATATCACACCTCGTAAAAGATAACCCAAGCCTTCCCAGGAGTTCAAGGCATTCCAAGGAAGCAAGAACCAGATAAACACTTTTAAAATCCATTTTTCCCCTATGTCTCATATCTTAGAATATGAGAGACTTACATAAAAAACAGGCATATCGTCAGATTGGCCAAGAGGAGGCGAACAGTTTGATAGGTCACTCTCCTTGGCTGGAATATATAGGAAAGTAGATCTTGTGAACCATTCAGTGTAGAATTTCATATTTCATATCTAATCAATCCTCAGATGTGTCTGAATAACAATATACCTGCCGGTGGAGTGTCACTTGTGCATATGGAAAGTTATGAGCCAAAATATGAACTAGAAGAGATTTTGGCTCTAGTTTAGGTCTACGCCCAGACCTTCCCCCCCTAAACGGGGTATTGGTCCTTTGCTTCAGTGACACCCCCTGCTGGGGAACTACAAATTGAGCTGTCAGGTCTAAGAAAGTTAAGTTGAAGAATTCTCCCGTTTAACATCAGAACCAACTTGGGAGACGGTGTCCTTTCACTCTGACACTTGATCTGCAAACCCAGGACTTTGGCAAGTAGTTTAACCCTCTAACTTCTCTCTGTTATCTCTTTGCTGTGCTGTTGCTCTCTGTATAGTTATATATATATTGGCTACAACTTTTTTCTGTAAATATTTTTATTGCACCCGTTTGACCTTTTAGTAATAAATGTTTCCTTCTGAAAGTGCTGAACTGTTTCTATAGCTCTTAATTGCAATTTACGAATTCCTGCCTCTAAAAGAGCGCTACTGTGTTTGTTTAACCCTCTGTGTAACCGGCCTGCGGTAACCGTGTTTATACAGACGATTATCTCAACCATTATAGTGTTATAGCTAATATCCTCTTTCTCTGTACAAAAAGGAGGTGGTGGCAGTGTGAAGGGTTAATTGCGTAATTAACCTGACCCAGTAACAATCGCTCAGGCTGCCGGTACATAGATTGTGGTCCAATTAGCTGGAAAATCATTGTGCAGGGTGCAGCTGGGCGTGGCATTGTTACGCACGTGACATCGCGGTGTTAGATTGGCCAGTCCTTCGGTCACGAGTTTGGTGAGAAGGGCTGGGGTCTGATGCCACGTTCGTCACATATTGGTGACAGCGATCGTGGGATCCTCACATATTGGTGACAGCGATCGTGGGAACGTCACCTATTGGTGGCAGCGATCGTGGGATCCTCACATATTGGTGGCAGCGATCGTGGGATCGTCGCATATTGGTGGCAGCGATCATGGGATCCTCACATATTGGTGGCAGCGATCGTGGGGATCGTCACATATTGGTGGCAGCGATCGTGGGATCGTCACATATTGGTGGCAGCGATCGTGGGATCCTCACATATTGGTGGCAGCGATCGTGGGATCGTCACAATACTCACTATGGAACCTAAGGGATTTATACTCTGCATTGTGTAAAAAGGATGTTTGATCCTGTCTTCTCTGAGCCTCCCCTTCTTTTACTTTCCCCAATCCATCTGCTGATAGATCAGAGCCTTGGTGGTAAGCTGCACATGCTCAATTTTGGTGTGTATTGCTAGAGAGGTTGTTTTTTTGGGACGGATGCATGTGATCAGCACAGGGCCAATCAGTCCAGGGAGGATGCATGTGATCAACACAGGGCCAATCAGTCCAGGGAGGATGCATGTGATCAACACGAGGCCAATCAGTCCAGGCAGAGGGTCCGAGGTTATGCTGCCTCATAGGAGAGAATTAAAACTCCTCCTACAAGCTTTAACCAATGCTCTGCTGGCCACTTATACAGTATGTCAACCTTCAACATTTTGTGTCCTCATGAAACTTCACTACCCAACATGGTGCAAAGACAACACTTTAAAAGCTCTTCCAGGTCACCAGTTTAGAGTCAATCAGGAATAACAACTGATCCCAGAATTACTGCTGTCACTCCGAGGTGCGCAATGATGTGTGGCCAATAGACTTACAGTATCTCCCAGAAGTGAGTCCCCCCCTCACATTTTTCTAAATATTTGATTCTATCTTTCCATGTGACAACACTGAAGAAATGACACTTTGCTACAATGTGCCGTAGTCAGTGTACAGCTTGTATAACATGTAAATTTGCTGTCCCCTCAAAATAACTCAACACACAGCCATTAATGTCTACACCGCTGGCAACAAAAGTGACTCCACCCCTAAGTGACAAGGTCCAAATTGGGCCCAAATAGCCATTTTCCCTCCCCGGTGTCATGTGACTTGTTAGTGTTACAAGGTCTCAGGTGTGAATGGGGAGCAGGTGTGTTACATTTGGTGTTATCACTCTCTCTCTCATACTGGTCACTGGAGGTTCAACATGGCACCTCATGGCAAATAACTCTGAGGATTTGAAAAAAAGAATTGTAGCTCTACATAAAGATGGCCTAGGCTATAAGAAGATTGCCAAGACCCTGAAACTGATCTGCAGCACGGTGGCCAAGTCCATACAGCGGTTTAACGGGACAGGTTCCACTCAGAACAGGTCTCACCATGGTGGACCAAAGCAGTTGAGTGCAGGTGCTCAGCGTCATATCCGGAGGTTGTCTTTGGGAAACAGATGTATGAGTGCTGCCAGCATTGCTGCAGAGGTTGAAGGGGTGGGGGGGTCAGCCTGTCAGTGCCCAGACCATACGCCGCACACTGCATCAAATTGGTCTGCATGGCTGTCATCCCAGAAGGAAGCCTCTTCTAAAGATGATGCACAAGAAAGCCGCAAACAGTTTGCTGAAGACAAGCAGACTAAGGACTTGGATTACTGGAACCGTGTCCTGTGGTCTGATGACACCAAGATCAACTGATTTGGTTCAGATGGTGTCAAGCGTGTGTGGCGGCAACCAGGTGAGGAGTACAAAGACAAGTGTGTCTTGCCTACAGTCAAGCATGGTGGTGGGAGTGTCATGGTCTGGGGCTGCATGAGTGCTGCCGGCACTGGGGGGCTACAGTTCATGGAGGGAACCATGAATGCCAACATGTACTGTGACACACTGAAGCAGAGCATGATCCCCTCCCTTCGGAGACTGGGCCTCGGGGCAGTATTCCAACATGATAATGACCCCAAACACACCTCCAAGACCACCACTGCCTTGCTAAAGAAGCTGAGGGTAAAGGTGATGGACTGGCCAAGCATGTCTCCTGACCTAAACCCTATTGAGCATCTGTGGGACATCCGGGGAGACTGGATAGAGTGAATGCAGGGTCCAGGGAGCCCAGATATAGTGAATGCAGGGACCGGGAAGACCGGATCTAATGAATGCAGGGTCTGGGGAGAGCAGATATAGTGAATGCGAGATCCGGGGAGAGCGGATATAGTGAATGCGGGGTCCAGGGAGACTGTATATAGTGAATGCGGGGTCCGGGGAGAGCGGATATAGTGAATGCAGGGTCCGGGAAGACCAGATATAGTGAATGCGGGGTCTGGGGAGAGCAGATATAGTGAATGCGGGGTGCGGGGAGAGCAGATATAGTGAATGCGGGGTCCGGGGAGACCAGATATAGTGAATGCGGGGTCCGGGGAGACCAGATATAGTGAATGCAGGGTCCGGGGAGACCAGATATAGTGAATTTGGGGTCCGGGGAGAGCTGATATAGTGAATGCGGGGTCCGGGGAGAGCAGATATAGTGGATGCGGGGTCCTGTTAGAGCGGATATAGTGAATGCGGGGTCCGGGGAGAGCGGATATAGTGAATGCGGGGTCCGGGGAGACCGGATATAGTGAATG